CCCCAAAACCCCAAAACCCCAAAACCCCAAAACCCCAAAACCCCTTACTTCTCTTTAAAAATAAAAATTAGAGTGATAATTCCCAAGAGGGTTTCTTCGCTCCAGCAATTTCTGCCTACCTAATCATAATAAAACTTTTACTTACTAGTAGCATCAAATTTGTTGGTCATGACTGAGAATCTTTGGGCAAATTTCAACTGGGGATTTGGAGAATTTGACAACTGTGATGGCGACTTTTGGTCTATTTTGTACTGAGAGAAAGTCTGAGGTAGAAGGCTTGGTGAGCGAGCTAGGGTATTACAGATGTTGGCCTGGGAAGGAAACTGAACCTCCATACTGGAGTGGTGGATAGGAGCGTGGGGAGGGAGGGTCATGGAGTGAGTGCTGAGGAGACTGGTGTTGGCTTCGTTACGAGCTTCGCGCATGATTTCGGACATATGAGATTGGTTATTTGGAAATTCCTTTATAATATCTCCTACTGAGACGTAAACACCCTAAGTTTCGAGGAGCATATGCGCTGTCTGACATTTTGGATAGCTTGAACATATTCTTCCTTCTTTCTCGGCTCGCTGCTAATGGATCTCTTATGCCGGAAATATTTATAGTATTTTCTAGTTTTCTTGACCCAAATTTATCAAAAATATTCTTATACTTTGCGTTATTAATGAGCTTTTTCTTATCAAATCCTCGATGCCTAAACTTAGATGGTTTAGCTCCAGGGATGTCATCTATAGTCATGATATCCTTCGGGTTCTGAATATTGATTTTCTTTCTAAAAGCTCCTGGAATATCATCTGTCTTTAAAGAACGGAGAATTTCATTAGTTCTTTTTATTACTCTCAGATAAATCTTTGAGTCTTCTGTTGATCTTGAATCTTTCAATGCTAGAATGATCGAACGACTGCTTCATCAGCTTACTATCATTACTTAGTCTTCTTCCTAAAATTTTGAAAATTATTCTGTGGTAAGACAATCTCTGTATTTAGAGTCGGTTGACTATTCTTTGCCCTTAAGGCTTTAGCTAATTTTCGCTGATTAACTGAGGGGATTGAGAACTTTTTCAACTGAAATCTCTTGTTATTCTCCCTAAGTGTTTGCTTTAAGGATTCCATTGTTAGTGAGATTTCGCAAATTTTATTCAACTTTCTATTTATTTATAATAAACTGGGGTTTTGGGGTTTTGGGGTTTTGGGGTTTTGGGG